TGCTATTTGCCTCCATATTCTTGTTATTTAATCTTTATATTACTGTCCTCTCAGTTTTAATTAATTGAAAATAAATTTAAATTTATCTAAAACAAGAATTCACAATTTTTATTCCAGCACAAGGGTTAAATTGAAATTAGAAGCAGCACTTTGCAGGATGTGCCTACACAAACAAATGAATAAATGTTAAATATGTAAACTGTATTTTGTGTATTATTCTTCTGATCAAGTGTTCCTTAATTGGAGCTTGTCATGAAAATGGATGGCCTTTTTTTATTTCAGCTCTCCCTGAAACAGGTCGTTCACATGTTAGGAGTCAGTTTTTAACTTCCTCAAAAAACTGCAGCAAGTTAAGGTGAATTGATGCAGCAGAAACCATAGCATGTCACTGACCACTTGGTTGGTTGGTGGCTTTTGCAATGTTGCATCTTCTTCAGTAGTTTTAGTGTCTGGATTTTTCTCCTTGTTCAGTGTATACCTCATTTAAATAAAAAAGCACCAGGTAATATAACATAGACAAAAACATGCTACATAGCTGGTCTAATGAAAAATGTATTTTAATACATCTCTCAAAGTAATTTGACTTACTCTTTGAAATACTTAGTTGCACAGTTTTAAGCAAAAGTTTGAGACAGTTGTTCTACATAGGATAAATACTTCTAGAGTGTTACTGAAATACAATTGAATGTCTAACACATTTAATTAGATTTTTTTTTAATTTCAAAACTTTATTAGCTGACATTAGTCGAGATGACTTAATGATGCATGAGAAACACAACGGGGATGAAAATTGGATGGGAAGCAGCTTATATATTTAAAGAACATATAAAAAATCCTGAATATCTGTTTTATGATTGAGGCTTATGAAAACACTAAAGATAAGTCAGTATAAGCCACGTAAAAGTGTAGTGTTCTTGAATGCCTTTTCCAAAGGGAGAGACAGAAAAAGAAAACTAGATGAGTGCTTCCTAGAAGTGCTATTTTTATCTCTCTAATGGTTGAGTTTGTGAGTCTGTGACATTATATTTTGGGACTATGGATTCTTTTGGTGAAAAAATTGAATGGTTCTTGAATGCTATCTGTATATTTTGATTTATATGGTCACCTATACTAGAGAAAAAAGAACTTGATAATAGTTGACCTTCTGTCTCTAATCCATTTTTATTTTCCCTGTGGAATAATGAGAGCTCTACTTAGAATGGTGAATATACATCAGACCTATGTTCTTTTCAGAAGGGCCTGTCCTGACATCCTTTGTGTTTGGTGAACATACCCATGATGAAAAGTAGTTGGAATCATTAGAAATTACTTCTTTAGAAGTGTATTTTTGGAGGATGGGGTTGGAATAAAAAAAAAAGAAAAGTCTTTCCAATTTGCTAGTCCTCTGTTACTACAACAATTAGAAGCTATTTTTTTTTCCCAAATACTAATGCTTGGGTATCTTTGCTGTCCAAGCTGCTTCAGCCTTGTTTCTCAAACTGCTGTTTTCTTGCAGCCTTCCATTTTTACTTGTTGCAGATAGTTCGGTCACAGGATGGGAATACTTTTGATGGTTCCTTATCGACTTCCAAAGTTTAGAGGTCTGCATTATAAGGCAGTCCCTTTCAGTTCCAGTTACAGCTAATATTGACAAAACTAGGATTTTCTTTGTATGTAATTCATCTGATTTATTTTAAATTTCTGCTTTAGAACAAAACACCTAATACTCCATCACTACTTGTTTTTCTGCATAGGCTGTGGAGGGAGGTGAAGACAGCCACTTCCCATGGTTAGGTGTGTCTTCAGCTTTTTTGTTGGTTTAAGTGCTAGTATGAGCATATGGTGTGAAATGGTAGATTTTGGAAGAGAAGGACAAAAAAGAGGTAAGACAAGAAAGATGAGAAAGAGAAGATAAAAAGGCTCATTCGTTATCTTTTTATGCCCACCTGTAGAGGAGTTATTGTGTTGTGCTACGATTTATAACTTCCTTTTTGTTCAGAAATGCGATAGCAGTGTCATGAAAAGGAAAGTTGCTCAAAGGCAGGAAATTTGCAAAGGAGCACTATCTAAGTAGTCATAATCTTATTCTTTCAGCAAATGTTTTGTGAATGAAGGCCTGAAGACTGCTTCTTTCAAGCAGAATAAAGTTCAATATATGTTTTTGTTTTATATAAATATGAGTAAGTCTGGTTCATTTATTGTTTTTTCTGTAGACATTGTGAGGTTTAGAGAGAATGTGTTACTCATTTTTTTACCTGTTAAAATGAAAAAAAAAATTAACCAGATATTTTTCCACTGTGACTCTGGTTTATGAATATATAGTAAACATAAACTGCATAACTGTAAGACATTTATGAATTAACATGAATAGGGTATGACAAAAAATAATGTTCCTGCTATAGAGGTTGCGTAAGTCATCTTCTGTCTGGAAAAGTCTTTTTCTTACAAACTAATGGGAATATTCATTCTTAATTTTAATTTCTGAACTGTTAAAAAGGGCTTCTTGGCTGAAAATGGTGGGGTTTTCTTGTTTATATTATAAAATCTCAGGGCACTTCAGATTAGAAGTAGGTAGATACTTAATATTGATTTTTTTTCACAGGCTGGTATGAAACTTGCCATCTTAAATTGCCTTTTTTTTGGGTCCATGTTAAGTCTAGTAATTTTCAGTCTTTCTGTGTGTAAGCCTTGTGAGTACACTTAGTAACTTTTTTGTTAGTGGACTTAGTAAAGGACATGTTAACATTCATAGCAATTGCTGTTTTTTCTAGACTTTGAGGGACCTTTCTGCTGTCTTCTTTTTGAGCTGTGGAAGTGGCATTTCAGTTTGGCTTGGTTTTGCCAAATGTATATCACATTAACTACTTGTGTAGCCTGAGTTAAGTTTTTTTCATTGCTAGATGTTTTGAGTTTTTTGTTGAGTTGGTCTGTTTGCCTTCAATCCTTTCTTGTCATCACCATTGTATTCAAGGATCTTTACTTTGAAAGAACTTTCGTCTGTTATATGATACTAGTCTTTTCTCTTAACGTGATTTTTCTGAAGGGTTTGGATTTGCAGAGTGAAAGGAAACCAATTTTGTGCTAGAAGCAGTCTTTCATGAGGAAAGTATTCTAATAAAGTAAGTGAGCTTAACAGAAAGATGTTGGAGGGGTGTTGCATCCTAGTTACTGCCTATATTGCCTCTGTTTTCCACAGAGAATTGTGAGAATTTGCTGTCCATTGCGGGGGGAAGAGTATAATACTGACTTCTGGGGGGGTCTGTCCTCCTTTTTGCTGGGAGGAATATGCTGCTGACATTGGATAAGGAGTTTCTTCCTGCTCACAGAAGTATCAGCTGTTAAAAAAATGTGTTGTTGCAGTCTGCTACTAACTTTTCCTTCATTCTTCTGCAAGGCAGTGTTATAGCTGAGTTTATTGTATAGGATATTTCAAAATATGTTGGGTACTTGTTTGGTGATTTCATTTTAGAAACTGCTTTTTGAAACTGAACTCCAAGGCAAAGGTGATATTTCTTTAACCAGCAAGTGACTTCTGGTGCATTGCTTACGGTCCTGCTATGTCTGAGAGCCTTGCGTGCTTTTATTTTTTGGAGTCTCTGCTGCAATCCCCTGTTTTAGTTACAGCTTTCCCAATATCTTAACTAGTTTTTTATTAGCACAACCTAATCTCCTTATCCTACAGCTGATAATACTTTATAATGTAAAAGTGATGATCTCTTAGAAGATGCACACCCACATACAGACACCAGTTCAAACCAAGAATGCTTTGGTAAGTAGACACCTTGCTACCAGTGTCTACTAGTGGTGGTAAAATCACCAGTATGTTAAAATTATTTTATAACGTGTAATTCTCATGATTATTACCAATTGACAAATAAGTGCTTTAAGGCAGCATAATCAAACATGACAATCTAAAGGTGTACTTAGGCTACCGTAATGACATACTGCAAAGCTGTGAGACGGATGATTAGAGGAGTTTTAAAGTATTACATATCCTGGCTTTCTGTTACTATTTGCTTGGCAGTTGGGTAATGGAGGAAGTTCTTTCTTAGGTTCAAGTTGAATCAAACACCTCTTTCTTCTGCACCTTCCTCTCCTTAAGAAGAAACCAGGGCTGGGAAAGACACTTCTTTGTTTTTTATCTTGATACAGTAAAACACTGTGAGCTGCTGCTGCAAGAGGGAAGGTACAGCATTTACTCAGAGCATTCCCAACTTGGGTTAAACTCTCTTCTAGGACTGTGCAGGAGCTTTATGATTTAGCTGGCAAGGCAGCACATTTAGTGTTCAAGATGGATTTATTCGGATGCCATGGTTTAAAAGTAAGATAGCATGGCTTAGGTGGTAAATTTCAGTTCATAGCAAAATGTGAATTTCTTTTAACATACTTGTGTGTTGAATTAAATAGGTGTCATTAGGATTCTGTCCTTTTCCAGTACTGAGAATCATGTTTCTTTTGGGAGTGACGGGTAGGAGTCATTTTTCCTTTTGTCTGATTTCCTTCTGGTTCCAAATGCTTGCCTGAAAAACAAATCCCCCTTAAAAAGTTGTAGTCCAGTTTCTAAATAAATTTCACTGGTTTTCTAAAAAAGTATTTTTCAAGGCTTTTCCTTCTGCCAAGACTGGCAACATATTTTGCTGTACGTGATGCAAACATAGCCATGTTCTGCAGATTGCTCATACATAGCTTGAGGACTCTCAAAGTGCTTCTGATGATCCTCCTTCAGGTGTGAAATGTTTAGAATGAAGTAATTTATTATATATTAATTCTGGTTAACCAGGCATGATTTGAGTTTTTCACAGTCTGCAAGAAATTGAGTATTCATTAACATTTAAAGCCATTAGGTGACACAGTTGAGCAATAAATGATTCATTTAGTCCCTGTTAAAGTAAATGTGCACTGAAGTTTTTGACTAGAAGATAAGTGGTGGCTGCCTTTTTTTCCAATTATTTTCCTCATCCTTGCTTTATTTATTCTGTGCACTTCATTGACTTGATTCTCTTTCTCTTTTCCTGAAACAGGGGAAGAAGAAGTGGAAAATTTTGATGTTTCCAGTCTGCCTGAAGAAGTGCTGCAGAACATAGAAGCTGACAGTTACTGGTGCATGAGCAAGTTGCTTGATGGCATTCAGGTAAATTGATTTTTTCCTGTCTGTAAGTGGTAGAGTTAGCTGATTAATGTCATGGCCTTGAAATACTTTAAGGCTGTTGAGAAAGAGTACATCTATGAAAAACAGGGGAGAAGTAGATTTTCACATTGGAGAAATCTGCTGCAAGTTTGGCATAGTATTAAGAAAGGAAAAGGAAGGGAAAAATTGTGCAATTTCCGTTCATTAAGATGACCAGATATTTCATTGTAGTATGATGTTCAAGAGCAGAGTTGAAATCTCCAATTCTAGAGGCATGTTGGGCCTCTCTGTCACCAAGCATGGAGAATGTTTGCTCAAGTCTCAAGTAAAATGGCCACACTGAGTTGATGAAAAGCTGGCTTATTTCTTCATTTTTAAGTCATTAATATGGCAAACTCTAGACAATAGCTCTGAAAATATGATCATATTTTTAAAACATTTATTTAAAGCTTGATGCTGATGCTGCTTCACCATGTATTTGAATTTTTTCCATGTGAAGAAGCTATAAATGAGAGCACCATTTTCTGTTCAACACAAGTTGCAAATAATAATGATGGATTTGTATGTACACATTTGCAATCGTTGGCATGTAAATTTATGAAGATTAGAAAGATCTACAATGAATAGTAAATATGTAGCTGAACATCTTACATTTATGTGAGGGAGGAATCCATACAATCTACCACAGATTAAGTGAGAGTCCAAATATCTGCATTAGTTATTTAGCAGATTCAAACACTTTTTGCTGCGGTGCTGATACATCATAAAACAGAAACTTCTCAATTTATAAAAAAATTACCTGAATTGAATTTTATAGGCTTTGTGTCACATTAGGTATCAAATAATATTTATCTAGTATCTGTTTTTCAGGTCCTTGTCATTAAGACCTGTGCTGTCTGTGCCACAGACAGTAAAAATCTGGTTTTGTAACCTCAGGATATGTGCACTAAAATGATAGTTGTTGTGAATTCTTGGGTTCTGATGGGAACAAAATTGACCTTTGCTAGAAACGGAAATTTTCTGAAAGGTGATGACTTTTATTTTGCATTGGCAACAAGGCTTTTTTTTTTTTTTTTTTTTTTTTTTGTTAGCAGTATTTGGTAGGCATGTGTTTGCAGTCAGGGTTCATTTGCTGCTTTCAGTGGGCTGATTAGAAAATAAATTACAGTTACAAATATTTAGCAGATTGCTGCTGCTTCTTTTCTTTTTTGTCTGTGTTTGTACCTTCTCTTTCTTATTATTCTCTGCTTTCAAGCAAGTTACTTGTATAGTGTAGAGGATCTTTTCTGTGAAATTGTTTCAGGGTTTTGGGTTTTTTTTCATGACAATAGAAATTGTTGCAGGGATAGCAAAACTTTAGTTTATTCCTAACATTCTGTTACAAGATGAGGTGATGGACAAATGCTTCTATTGTACTTGTTATATTCAATTGTTTAGATAGGTCCCAAGTAAATTCACTTGTTTTGAAGTGCTTTGGAGAAATGCTTGAAAATTTGAGGTTTTGTTTTTCCAAGTGGTTTTCATGTAGCAAAGACTCTGGAGATTGTGTGAAAAATGAGTACCCTCCAATCATTAATAAATCGTCATAAAATGTGAATAACCATAAAAAATTCCTATGGATTGAAGCTATACTGCTGTACATTTCAGTGAAACTAAATTAATGGTTTCCAGATTCTTTATTTTGATTGCACTTTATTGTCTGTTATTTCTTTCCTTACATTATTTAGTATTTTTAAAAGTGCTTTAACATATTCTTACCTATGACTTATGTTTTAATATGAATGTTGCATTGGCTAAGGCAGGCTGGCTAAGGCATAAACTTGTAACAAAATTGTTATAAAATTGAGTAAAAAAACAGAAGTCTGACTTCTTTTAGGGTATTTTAAGTGTATTTCTCCTTGTTAAAGATCAAATAAGTAGCTCAGTGTTTTGTGTAGCAGTGTTGAAAAGCATAGTCATCTTCTCATGTTGATTCCTGTAAAAAATGATGGTTTTCTTATTTCAGTCTTTTAGAACTACTACATTTTAAAATATTTGACTACATACCAAAAAGTATGTAAAAATTGATGAAGGCAAAAGTAAGAACTTGAAATCCACTTTAAAGGAAGAAAGCCAGGTAAAGAAATGCAAGCCCTCCAGCTGTCTTACCTGTTTCTGGAACATCTTTTGTCACAGGCCTTCTGAAATGTTTGGGTTTTTTTTCTAGAAAAAAAGGTTCAGAGATTACATATTTTCTCCTTAAAATTGTGTTTTTGTACAAAACTGTCAAGTACTGATAAGCAGAATACTGAAATTAATTGTAATGGAATTAAACTGCATTGATGAAAATTTAAGCTGTTATATAAATGGAATGGTTATGAATTGGATGTATTCATCTATCAAAAAGGATGCACTTGTCTATCAAAAGCAGGCTTGAAAGTTTATGCCAGTGGTGTGACTAATGATGTTACAGTTAATTCAGTGCAGCTGACAGGTACTGCTGAAATGAAAGGTTTTACTTTTTTTTATTCCCATTCTCTTGGTTTGGTTCCCTTCTGTGCTGATACCACTTTACTTGTCAAGATAGAATGGTCATGTAGTTGCAGGTTGAGTTAGTTGGGAGAACTAACCCAATGAGGAATCAGCTAATTGAAAGGAAGAGGTTAAAAAACAGAATAAAGATTGTTTTTCCAAAGGGATGCCATCCAGAGGGACCTTGACAACTCTGAGGTGGGCCCATGTGAACATTATGAAATTCGATAAGGCCAAGTGCAAGGTCCTGCACCTGGGCTGGGGCAATCCCCAATGTCAGTGCAGACTGGGGATGAACGGATTGAGAGCAGCCCTATTACATTGACTTTTCTCTGTGAAGGTGTGTCACAAGAGGCTCTTGTATGACTACTGATACTTTGAGATGTCTGAATAAACTGTACAGGGATTTTAAAGAAGAGGAATATATGATTTGGTGATAAGTGCAGCTGAAAAATCTCTGCAGAATATTTCTCTTAATTTATGCATCAGCATAGGCTTACATTTGATGCAAGTACTGGCCTACTAGTACTGGATAAGTTTAAAGAGTGTACTTTGATAACAGTTAGGGTCCTGTTGTGAAATTCTTTAGTCATATGAGCTAAATAGGTTGTTTTGTTTTGCTTAGTTTTTGTTAGATGTGTGTGTCTTTCAAACTCATAAGAGTGTAATGGAAGAATGATTGTATTTGTATCCCTATGTTATTCTTAAGAGAAAAACTCATCCCGACTGTATCATTTTCTTGGTTCCAGAATTGTCAAAGATATTAGAAAGAAACATGTATTTCTTGTTTGGGTTTTGTGACACATAATATCTATTACTTCTCCTTTCCTCACCCATCTTACCCTCTCCCCTCTTTATCTAATGTATCTGTTTATTTCTAATATAACAGTACGTATTTGTTCTTGAATGAGAGACTGTGTTGACATTGAGCAGCATGACAGTTGCTTCCTGACATGCTTACAGCCATTAGCCTTGAGGAGAAATAAAAACCTTGGTCAAATGATCTGTTGCTTTAGCAGATTCACTAATATTTTGTTGTGATCTGAGGGTTTTTATTGAAGTATGTCTTTGGCTCTAGTTAGAGAGTTTTACAGAACTTTTCCACTAGTTAATATTTTGTATTGCACAAGAGTTTATTCTGTAATATTTTCTTAGATTACTTTGCATCTTCTTTCTCAGTTTGTTCTTTCTAGTTATAGGCTCCCAAGTAGCTATACATGCTGGAATTTTTTTCCTTAGCTCTTGTCACAGAAAGACTATACCTCACTTATTTCAGGAAAATTAATGAAAACTTCTAAAATCATAGGATGGATCATAGGATAAAACATAAGATAATTCTGGTAGGAAGGGGCCTCTACAGGTTATCCTGTAGGGTCAGCTGTGAGGTCAAATGGAGTTGCTCAGCCTTTGTCCAGTTGGGTCTTGAAATCTCTAAGGATGGAGACTGCACAATCTCGGGGGATTAACCTGTTCCAAAGCTTGATTGTCCTCATGTTGAAAAAGTTTCTCCCTATAGCCCGATGAAGCACTTCTTGTTTGGTTTTGCTGCTTGTCTCTCATCCTGCTAATATGCGCCACTATTAAAAACCGTCTTGGTAATGTATGTTTTAGCAGGCTGCTATTAGGTGCATCTGAAGCCTTCTTTTCTCAGCAGTCTTAGTTCCCTCATCCTCTCACAGGGCATTTGCTCCATACCTCTGAGCATCTTGGTGACCTTGTGCCCTCGCTCCAGTTTATTCGTGTTTTTTCTTGTATCGGGGTTCCTAAAACTGGATGTGGTATTCTAGATTTTGTCTTGCATTTCAAGTTGAACAATCAAAAGATAAAACATTTCAGATGTCAGTTTACCATGCTCATGATAAAGCCAGTTGTCTTTAACCCAGTTCTAAATTGTAGATGTTGAATGAGTATTCTTGCATTTTCACCTGTAGTAATGATGGCTGTACATATGGGAAAACTAGAATTTACTCCAGAAGTATTTCTTCCATTTAGTGAAGTAGAAATTCTTATATATCCATCACAATTAGCTTTTTTATTACAAAAACGTCCTTTAGAATCTTTCCTCAACAGAGTCCCGTTAACATTCAATAGAAAGTTCATGCTGATCTGTGCCATCTGAAAACGTAATGTTCATGTATAGAGTATAACTCCTCATTTTAAGTTCAAGTATAATAAAATAACCAAAGGGGAAATATATGCATTTTATAATGATCTAACCAGATGTATTAAAAATAGCAATAAAATATTAATATAATTATTTATTAGGGCCTGGAAATTTTTAGAATAAAAGGGAAATAATTAATTTCCTGGGACTAACGTATGCTGATGTAGGTTTTAACTATTTCTATGGCTGATTATATAGCAAGACTTATGATCTACAGAGGGATTCCAGCAAAGTTCTTTCTTTCTTGTTCCTCAGTTACTGAAAGCTGTTGACTTATGATCTACAGAGGGATTCTAGCAAAGTTCTTTCTTTCTTGTTCCTCAGTTAC